CCCATCTGGAGCACTGGGTCCAGTTCTGGGCCCCCCAGTTCCAGAAGGACAGGGAACTGGGGGAGAGGGGACAGCAGAGGGCCACAGGGATGATGAGGGGCCTGGAGCATCTCCCTTACAAGGAGAGGCTGAGGGACTTGGGGCTTTTTAGTCTGGAGAAGAGAAGGCTGAGGGGGGATCTGATCAGTTCTGATAAATACTTAAAAGCTGGGAGTCAAGAGGATGGTGTCGGGTTTTTTTCAGTGGTGCCCAGGGACAGGACAAGAGGAAATGGGCACAAACTTGAATCTAAGAAGTTCCACCTAAACATGAGGAGGCACTTCTTTACTTTGAGGACGACAGAACCCTGGAAGAGGGTGCCCAGGGAGGTGGTGGAGTCTCCTCTGGAGACATTCAACAGGGAGTTGGACTACATAATCTCCAGAGGTCCCTTCCAACCCCATGTGATTCTGTGATGCTGTGACTCTGTGAATGGTTAATGGATGCTTCCCCCTCTGTTTGCTGACACAAAGAACTGCAGGAATGAGATCACAACAGGCTCTGCAAAGAACAGGCAACACTTGGGAATTTCTGGTGTAACCCCTTTGCTGGGCAATTAAAACGGTGTGGTTGGTGAAGAAGAACTCAAGCTAGAGGGAAAAAAAGTTCAAAATATGCCAGATTTCGCATGATACACCAAAGAAGAAGAAAAGGAACCACTTGAAAGCACAGAAAACTGCACTGAGATGGAAACGAGAGAGATTCATCACTGTGTCAAACTCAAGTTAAAACCACGCGTGGAGGGGAGCAAGGGAAGAAGCAGCCAAATGTCAAAGAAAGCCCCACGCCTGCTGAAACAAGGCAAATGGGGAAATGAAAAACCAGGCTTTACCCGAGCTGGCGGAGAGCAGAAGCTTTGAGGGAGAAAGGGAAAGAAGAAACACAGCAGCCGATGAGAGCTCTGCAACAAATAGGACAAGAAAAGGAAATGACAACTGGATCTGGAAGGAAGTCTGGTGAGGAGGGGCTTTTCTTCAACGGGGAGGGTAAGAACGACTTTGAGTGGCAGTGAAAGGGAAATATGGTAGTACTAACATCACTTTTCTGTAATGCAAATGGGCCTAAGTAGCTTGCTCCTACATTGGGAATGGGGATGTGGATAAGATCTCTGCTTTTGAAACTGCAAGGGGTTGTGGGTCCTCCTTGAAACTAAATGTCAACACAGTGCTTTGTGGAAAATGGCACGAGAAGAAAAGAACATCTACAGCTGGCACCACGGTGCCCTGGCTTTCAGGAAGCTCCGGGGACAGTCAATTACATCTTCCATTTGCAAGAAAAGCAACTCTTGACCTGACCTGTTCCCTCTTTCAAACTCTACATAAAGGACTCATAAAGGTTCATGCCTTGGAGACATATAACGAGCAGACCACACAGGGGAACAAGTGAGAGAAGTGTTTTTTTAAAAAGGAAAAAAAATGAAGTCACAGGGAAATACACCTCAGTCTCACCTCTGTGCCCAGCAAGATCATGGAGCGAATGCTCCTGGAAACTGCTAAGGCACATGGAAAGTAAAGAGGTGACTGGCGACAGCCCACATGGCTTTACCAAGGGCAAATCGTGCCTGACAAATTTGGTGGCCATCTACGAACGCGCTACAGCATTGGTAGATAAGGGAAGAGCAACTGACATCATCTACGTGGACTTATGCAAAGCATTTGACGCTGTGCAGTGACATCCTTGTCTCTAAATTGCATAGATATGGATTTGACGGATGGACCACTCAGTGGATAAGGAACTGGCTGGATGGTTGCACTCAAAGAGTTGTGGTCAATGGCTCAAGTGGAAACCAGCGAGAAGTGGCATTCCTCAGGGGCTGGTATTGGGACTGGTACTATTTAACATCTTTGTTGGAGACACAGACAGTGGGATTGAGGGCACCCTCAGCAAGTTTGCCGATGACACCAAGCTGTGTGGTGTGCTCGACACGCTGGAGGGAAGGGATGCCATCCAGAAGGACCCGGACAGCCTTGAGAGGTCGGCCTGTGCAAATTGCATGAAGTTCAACAAGGCAAGTTCATGAAGTTCAAACGCAAGGTCCTGCACCTGGGTCATGGCAATCCCAGGCACAAACACAGGCTGGGAAGAGAACGGATTGAGAGCAGCCCTGAGGAGAAGGACTTGGGAGAGCTTGGGGATGAGAAACTCAACATGAGCCAGCAATGTGTGCTTGCAGCCCAGAAAGCCAACAGCATCCTGTGCTGCATCAGAAGAAGCATGGCCAGCAGGTCGAGGGAGGTGATTCTGCCCCTCTACTCTGCTCTGGTGAGACCCCACCTGGAGAACTGCATCCAGCTCTGGAGCCCCCAACAGAAGGACACAAACCCGTGGGACCACATCCAGAGGAGGGCCACGAAGACTATCAGAAGGCTGGAGCACCTCTCCCATGAAGACATGCTGAGAGAGTCGGGCTCTTTCAGCCTGGAGAAGAAAAGTCTCTGGGGAGAGCTTAGAACAGCTCCAATGTCTGAAGGGGACCGGCAGGAGAGCTGGGGAGGGACTCTTTGTCAGGAAGGGTAGTGACAGGACAAGGGGGGACGATTATAAATTGGAAGAGGGGAGATTTAGATGAGATACCAGAAAGAAATTCTTTCCTGTGAGGGTGGTGAGGCACTGGAACAGGTTGCCCAGAGAAGCTGTGGCTGCCCCATCCCTGGAGGGGTTCAAGGCCAGGCTGGATGGGGCTTGGAGCAACCTGGTCTGGTGGGAGGTGTCCCTGCCTATGGCAGGGGGGTTGGAACTCGATGACCTTTAAGGTCTCTTCCCACCCAAACCAAATGATTCTATGATTCTAAGTGCATGACTGGGCTCAGGGCTGCTGAAAGGGGATGCTGTCTTTACCAGTAAATGGACTGGTAAAGCATGGAGCTAACCATCAAAGAATTCATGGAGAAAGCGTGGGAAGAAGCCATGGACTTTGCAAGGTCCTTCATGGCTCACAGTCCTGTAATGTTTTGGTTACACGGAAAACTTCAAGGGCAAAGGATTACAAACCAGAATCCGAGAAGTAAAATCATAAAATCTACGCCACTTGAGAAAATGTCCTCTTGGATAAAATAAAAGAAACTAAAACACTATTGTAGGAGGTGAAAGCAACAAAAGAAAGGAAAAGAGTTGTTTGGTTTGGAAGACAACCACGTATGTGGGAGGTTGATGGTTGATGGTGTTGTGAGGATCCAGAGAAACGTCCATGGGAAAAAATAATCTTTTTCAGAAGAAAAAGGTAGAGTGAATGAATCCTGGGTAAGGGGAGAAGGCAAAGAGAGAAGGCAAAGCTGACGGAAAAGATTCATCAGAAAGTAAAAAGCTAGTTATCCCAGAAATGTCTGATGAATTACCAAGAGTCATCCTGTAATCTTTGAGCAATATTTCTACTGAATCCTGTGGTCTTTCGGCTGAAAGGCATCACTCAGCAGTGGAAAAAGAAGAAAAAGCTTGAGCTTCTCGGTAACCAAAAAAGTCACTTACCCTAACACAGCCCGTATCTCTAAAACAGATCAACTGAGGCGGTAAAAACTGGCCAACATTGGAAAAGCAGTCTCTACATCTCAAATAACGAGAGGCAGCCAGAGCAGTGGACATTCATACCCAAAAGCTGCACCTTGTCTTCCTTCCCCCTCCGCAAACACACGGGCAGCAGGGCTCCCATCACAAAGGGCTGCATCAGGCTGTAGTGAATTCCAACACCAAACCATAGACTACTTGATAATAAACCTGGAAAACACTGCATGCTGTTTATCTGTTCCACATCTAGCTTCTAAGAAGTGGTCTAGCCATTCATACTTTGTATGAAAACTTGAATACGCTTATTTTCTTAAAGTCACTGGGGAAAAAAAACCCAAACCAATCAACCAAAAAAAAAACCAAACCAACCAACCAAAAAACCCCCAAACCAGCGTTTTGCAGACAGGTATAAATTAAAAGCTTCTCTTCCACAGAAACAACTACTCCCATCTAACTTTTCAGAAACTCTATCTAGCCAAATACACGACAAAAGGGGAGCGTAATGGTTCCCCATGAAACAGACTCATTTCATTGCTTTCTTGGAGTGAAGTTACAGAAAGAATCCAAACGTTATTAAAAAAAAAAAAAAAGTCATTACTTTTTAAATTGTCATTCCCTATCCTTCAGTAATGCTGTAGTATCACATCCATGCTAAAATACAATTTTTACCTTTTATCTGGATTTATGAATGCATTACTTTAAGGCATTAGCCCAATACATTTTGGGCTAATGTGCCCTAACTGCTTTTAGTACTATGGCTGCCCCACGTTTGTCCTTATGAACGACCTGTGGCCCTCTAAAAAAAGTAGTGAACGGGCAAAAGAGAGAATTGTATGGTCTAATCAAGTCTCACTGACTTCACCGCAGAAACATCGAGCACATTAGTAGGACCTGGGCTATAACTTCACTACAGCTCCCAACTGAAAGAATTCTGTTTATACTCAGTTTCAGACAGGACAAGGGGTAATGGTTTTTAATGGGAAGAGGGGAGATTTAGATTAGATACCAGAAAGAAATTCTTTGCTGGGAGGGTGGTGAGACACTGGAACAGGTTGCCCAGAGAAGCTGTGGCTGCCCCATCCCTGGAGGGGTTCAAGGCCAGGCTGGATGGGGCTTGGAGCAACCTGGTCTGGTGGGAGGTGTCCCTGCCCATGGCAGGGGGGTTGGAACTTGATGATCTTTAAGGTCCCTTCCAACCTGAACCATTCAATGATTTTATGATTCTATGCCCTTGGCAACTGGTCCTGCTGGCTTCTGCTGCTCTTCCTGCATCATGTAAGGATGGAGGGGATGAAAAGGCTCTGTACCAGCAGTGACTAATCTGCCCTTGGCAATCTGTCCTGCTGGCTTCTGCTGCTCTTCCCGCATCACGTAAGGATGGAGGGGATCAAAAGGCTCTGTACCAGCAGTGACTAATCTGCTCTTTCAACCAGAGGCCCACCCAGAGCACCTTTGCCTACCTGTGGCACAAAGGGCAATGAAGGTTTGTGCATGCTTCCGGATCAAAAGCAACTTGTCTTTAGGTAGAGGCAACTTCCTTAGGATGTGTTCGATGAAATCATGCGGGGTGACTGCCGCGAGGTTCCACTTCAACTTCCCCAGGACCACCAGCTCCCATTCCTGCAAAGGGGGACGGGGAGGGGAGAAGAAAAGCCATAAGTGAGCCTGAAAAAAAAAAAAAATAAACCCACTCCGCTTATTTCTCTGATTGTAATTATATCACTGCTAAATTGGTTTTGCTCAAACGTTTTTTTCCACTGCTTTGAAGTTGTTGACTTTATTCTTTTTATTCTTTTTTTTTTTTCTAAAAAAAAAAAAAACAACACTGGAAATGTCAAGCTCTACTGAAAATAATGAGACCTGGCAGCTCCTGCCAAGATTTTACTTTTTTTGTCTCCAGTGCTGAATGCCCACCCAGAAAGTTTAGCCTGCAATTAGATATTGCCAAGGTCACTGTGGTCCTTTCCTAGTCACTTCTTTTAAATGGCTATAGTCCTTACTTTATAGCCATTTAAAGCCCTAGCTGCTAAATTGCTTTTGCTCAAACGTTTTTTTCCACTGCTTTGAAGTTGTTGACTTTATTCTTTTTATTCTTTTTTTTTTCTAAAAAAAAAAAAAAAAAACCAAAACTGGAAATTTCAAGCTCTACTGAAAAAATAAAAAATACCCACTTCGCTTATTTCTCTGATTGTAATTATATCACTGCTAAATTGCTTTTGCTCAAACGTTTTTTTCCACTGCTTTGAAGTTGTTGACTTTTTTTTTTTTTTTTTTTTTTTTTTTCTAAAAAAAAAAAAAACAACACTGGAAATGTCAAGCTCTACTGAAAATAATGAGACCTGGCAGCTCCTGCCAAGATTTTACTTTTTTTGTCTCCAGTGCTGAATGCCCACCCAGAAAGTTTAGCCTGCAATTAGATATTGCCAAGGTCACTGTGGTCCTTTCCTAGTCACTTCTTTTAAATGGCTATAGTCCTTACTTTATAGCCATTTAAAGCCCTAGGGATAACCATAAACAAAAATAATCCAGATATACGTTCTTTTTTTTTTTCAAAACTGGGGAAGTTAGCTTGATGGCATTCTCTCCCAAAACTGTCTTCAAAAGCTCCTGTAGATAAATCTGATGGTGCTTAAACTACTCCAAGACAGGCTTTGCGGAAAGGAAATGCATGTAACACAGCCAAGAAGTAGCCTGGGTGAATTATCCACCAATAAATCCTATAGGATCCATTCCCACAGTCTTTGCACATCCAAAACTCCCAGTGAAATCAAAGGAAAGCTGAGGTTTGGGTGTGTATGTACTGGCCGTGCCCTGCAACGTGATTAGAGGTAGACATGGCACCTCACCAACAGATCCAGCCATGGGGTTCAAGTAAGGCTAGACCTGCACGCTCCAGCACTTAAAAGAAGTTTTTAATACCTTACAGTGCGAACAAAGCTCAGGCCTTGGAAACATTTCTGTCACATGCACTAACTATTGGCCACTAACTAAATTCCACGCACTGATTCTTGAGTTCTGGTGATGCCTGATGGAGCCCAGCGTGGCGGGGAGCCCCGGCGAAGCTTGTAGGAGCTGGCAAGCCAAAAAAAAAAAAAATAAAAAATACGCCCTTTAATTTTGCAGCCGAGGAGACGTCAACCAGCGTTGCTGAGAAACCATAAACATGGACCCCACAATGCCATTTCTGCTGTCGTTCCTCTGAATAGACGCCCGCGTTAGCAGCAAGTCACTTTCCTACAGACATTCCTACTGGGTTATGAGAGAGCCCTCCATGGCTTGGAGAATGTCATGTTAACGTGTGTAACCAGCCCCAGAAACTAGGTGTGGGTTTTTTTCTCTCTTAAGAAAAACCTGTAAAAAGTTTGAATTATAGAATGGTCAGAGTCGGAAGGGGCCTTAAAGATCATCCAGTTCCAACCCCCCTGCCCTGGGCAGGGACACCTCCCACCAGACCAGGTTGCTCCAAGCCCCATCCAGCCTGGCCTTGAACCCCTCCAGGGATGGGGCATCCACAGCTTCTCTGGGCAACCTGTTCCAGTGCCTCACCACCCTCACAGCAAAGAATTTGGCACCTGCGTTAACTAAGGACTGATCTTCCCAACGTTACTAATCCGACAGATTTTGACAGAGAGAAGCACTTAATTTAGAGGACTGAATCCAAGGAAGCACTTTAAACACGTGCCTAAATCCACGTGGCACGAGGTAGGCACATCGTTCCCCGCCTTCTCACATGGGGGCCACGGCCACAGCGGTCCACCCCACCAGCAGGACACCTCCTGGCTACGACACCAGCTCCCAACCCCTCCCTGAGGAGGGGGGGGAATTCCCACCACCTTCACCCGGTGATTCATAGGAGAAATTCCCCTGGGATCCAGCTGGCTGCACACATCCAGCGGGATGGGACGGGCAAGTACAACACTGGGGAACCCAACCAGCACCTCATCGAGAAGCTTAACTGCTTGCTCCACCACGCTGTGCCACCACGGATCACCCCATTGAATGATTTTCACCTTGCAGGCCAGATGGGGCTTGGAGCAACCTGCTCGAGTGGGAGATGCCCCTTCCCATGGTGGGGGGGGCGTCAGAACTTGATGATCTTGAAGGTCCCTCCTGACTCTGACCATTCTACGGTGGAAGTGCTGCCACGGGAAGTACCAGACGTGGCTTTGAAACTTGTGGTGACCTTCAACCAAGCTCAATTTTCACCTCGGTGCCAACCTACAAGGGGGGGACCTGGTACCTTGCTTCCCAAGGTCCACCCGCTGCTCATGGAGCCTTCCCCACCACCACCCCCACAGCCCCAAGTCCCCAGGACGGAGGGGAACCCACCCTGTCCTGGGAGACACCACCACCACCAGCACCTCAGCGCGGCGGGTTGGCGTCGAGGGGGTTTAGGGAGGAGGGGGGGAAAAGATGGGGGGACACC